AAAGGCGCTGCAATCCTCCGTTTTAAGATCTTCTTGGTTGACGTTATGAGATGTATGAACCGAGTCTAATTCGTCTGGTTGTAACTTTTTTTTTATTGGCCCTAGAAAAGCCTTCGCCATGTCGCAAAGTTTCCAGTATGAAAATTGGGCTATGCCTGCAGCCCACCGATGCACAAGCTTTTTAGTTCAGGCTCTCGCGTACATGCCGGTCTAGACTCGTTTCCTGTTTCAATAACTTAGTAATTTTTCCAGGTTTGTATGTAACAGCGTGATAAGTATGGCCTGATGTATTTCCGGGGATGTGATGGTGTCCTAACTAGTTGTGATGCTTGCTTTAAGATTGGGGGCCAACTCTCGTTTTCCGAACTTGAGGCGGCACGTCTCGGTTCACCACGCCGCCAGGTATTGCTACCATTCAAAAATATTATGTAATAGTTATGTAAATATATATTAAAAACAACAACGCAATACGGAAATAAAGACAATGAGCCAATGTCCAAAATAAAATGGCATCCTGCACCGTGATACTGTCCCTGTTCTTCGCAGCTTCGAATTTGTTGAATTGGAATCAGCCTATGGCAAGTACGGAATTCAATAAAGGCATAGGCTTCCAGTCACTTTGTTTCCTTCTACTACACAGCAGAGTTTGTTTCCTTCTAATACACAGCAGCGTTTGTCCCGATCTTCTGATTAGCTAAAACGAGACTATCCAAAGTGCAACTGTGCAAGACTGTGTAAGGGCCAGGTGTGACTCGGCTCGCACTGCTTGCCTACCGCTTCGTTTGAGCAGAGGCACAAAAGCGCACTCGCCATAATAAACCACCAAACATGAAAGAAACACAAATTGAGTTGAGTGACTTGGTTACTTTGCTGATTCGTATTTGGTCACCGCCTTGGTACCTTCCATAACAGCGTGCTTAGCAAGTCCACCAGGCAGGATGAGCCTTGCAGCGGTCTGGATCTCCCGACTGCTGATAGTTGACTTCGTATTGTAAGCCGCCAATTTTTTAGCCTCAGCAGCTATACGTTCAAACATATCTACACTTAGTTAGAGCTGAACATGGGTGGAAGAGGCAGAACAGAGTCACCGTTAATGAGTGAGTTTAAAATTGACATGGCGCGGTTGGAGATCCCAGCGCCGGGATGGACGTGCTTGAGAACTGTATAAGAAAGTATGGTCAGAGGAAGTTTAAAACCTGGGGTACGATTGATAGCGCGCCTTTGTATAGGTAAGAGCTGTACGTTTCCACGCGCTTCTTTTTGTGTTGCTTTTGGTCGCCGTTGGCGCTGTTATTTTTGGTGGCAGTACTCTTTGCCTTGAAAGTCTCACCCTCCTCTTGGCTAGTCTGGGCGGTTTTGGAGGAGGCTGCGGCTCCCTGGGTGATTTTATGCGTCTTCCCTGCGCTAGGCCCCTTGCCAGCGGACTCTGGGCTGCTAGACGTGTGTCTATCGTCGTGTTGGCCGGATGGGGGAGCCGATGATCTATCACTGGCAGCAGACGAGCTGTAGTCCGCGTCGGAAACGTATCCGTCGGGCGCCATGTCCGCACGGTGAATTAGGCCGGAAGGCATACTTACTTATTAACACGTGTTATAGTTATGTTACTGTAATAAAGACACCTAATTGTACCCAAATCTCTAGGTGGATCAGATTCGCGGTTGGTCGTAGGAGGCCGGGTGGCTCAGAATGGAGGCGGGCATTCAGCTGATTTAAAGCTCACTTTGGACAAAATCAATGCTAATTGCCATCTACTGAGGAGTCAGGCCGGGGTCGGGCTTTTGGCAAATATTTTCCCCACAATCTCGTCAACAGATATTTTAGAAACATCAAGCAAACGCCCAGGTGGGTTTATGACGTCTTCCAAGGCTATTCAACCATTGACGTCTTCCAAGACTATTCAAGCATGACATAACCTAGCCTACTTCCGCAGCCGGCTGCATTGCTACGAGGTAGATGCAAAGAGGCTCTAGGCGGGGTGTATGTGCGGTACGGATCAGGTTCAAATCACTTTCAGGACGGTTGCACAAAAAATACTCTCCTGCATCAATTTGTCGAGGGTCGTGCAATGGGTCTGCGTTGACTAATTTCGGTATTAATATATTTCTGTATGTACTAGTCGCGTATGTACTGTAATCGCTCGTGACCACAGATTTGAAGGCGTTGCAAAGAAGTGTGACAAATCCTTTTGCAGCATCAGAGTCCATTGCACGCCAGCCGAACCACGGGCAGTTAGGAGCTTATGACATGTTT